TATACAAATATCAAGAATTGCTTGCGGCAATGCAAGCGATCCACATGGCCTGAATAGTATTTGAAAATCGTTATTAATAGTTTTCAAACACAAGGTAATTATGTTTCCAGACATACATACATAAGTAAATTTAAAATTTTATAAAAGTTGTAGATAAAAGTATTGAAAGAATTATCAATTTACAAAACGCGAACTTAAAATCACGCCCTTGTATATACACAAATGTATGTACATACATATGTTACATAAGTACATATGTTTGTACATATTTAGAGAACAAATTATTTATGAGAATTCAAGGCGGCAAAATATATTATTAGGTATGAACATTAAAGCACGGTAGCGTGTGAAAATATATAAATATGCTACCTTCACGAGGTGTATAAAAAAGGATATAGCACGTACGATCCGAATTTGAGATTTCATGAATTTGAGAAAAAAAATTTTGCATTTTACAGAAATTAGTGTACAAATAGCTAGAACTCAATAATTTCAATTAGAACATTTTCGCTGAATCAAATTTAACTTGCTGTTATCAGTTCTCGGATATTTTAAGAAACGTCTGATTTTAAAGGTTCTATGCTCATAACTCTTCTCTGGTACAATGACAAAACTGATCGTAAATAACATTACGCATTCATTTAGTATATGAGAAAAAGGTTAGGGCTAAAAACAGTGTTTATGTAATTATTAAGTTTATAAAAATAAGTTTCACTTATTAGGTCTTCAAATTATGATATGGAATTTAAGGTAGATTAAAAGGCTAATTTCAATTCATCTCAAAAACAAAAACCATAATAAAAGTTAAGCGATATACATATGTACATGTGTATGTATGTATTTATAATGGCCCATTCACAACTTGTTTCATTTTGTTTGACTATACATACTTTAACAACGAAGMGAAGAAAGGCAAGGGTAAGCCAGAAAGAATGTTTCACTAATAAACATGGAGGGTGTAACTTGGAAAACCGTAAAAAGATGAGAATTTTTTCTTCGTCTTGTTGGGATATGAACGTACTCACATGTAGGAAGAATTAATAATCAGGCAACAAACTGAGTTGATTTTCTTTTTTCCTCAAGTAAAGGCTAAACAAATTGTACTAAATTATGTTTTTTTGTGAGAAAGAAAATTTCAATCTGAATTCATTAAAGATTATTTATACCAGAGACTAATAAATTTGTCACAAATGAAACTCCGGAGACCTTATGAAGTGTATGAAGGATAAATGATCAGGTAACAAGCTGAGCTGATTTCCTTCTTTCCTCAAGAAACCGCTCATTTGTCCGAACCGCCGATGTCACATTTCACATCGTTATGCGCACATATATGTATGCATGTATGTTTGTGTGTACGTAGTTATCATATAACTAATCGATCAAAATCAAATCCTTGTATGAAAAGCTTTCTTTTTTTGACAATATACATGCCTATGTATGTAGTTGACAATACTTGTATTTGCCGAAAATAAATTTGGAATGTATGTATCTCCTAACATATTGTTCAGATCGGTCTAGTATAGCATAGTTACGGTTTTATCATCTTTCTTTACAGAATTCAGAGTCTATGTATGTACATAACAAATAAATACCATCGATTTCTTTGAACATACTTTCACGATTCGAAAGCAACCTTGTAACTTGCTACAGACTAATATTATTAGAGATAAATTATATAGATATATTTTGTTGTGGTTTGATTATGCCAAAAATGTCAACAGATACATTTGTGCAGGACTCATACAGGGAATGTACATTATTTATATATTTTACGTTTCCTAATTTGGATCATCTTTAGCGATCTATTACAATTTAAGAAATTAACGCTATCAGCTGTTTGCTGTATATTGAGGCACGTGCAGTCGTGTTGGTGGCGTAGCATTTTTGTTTATTTTTTTGTTTAATTCCGTTCCTCGGCTACTTTTCCAAGAGCGTAAATTTATGTTTTTTTATACACAAACTACACATGAAATTTTTGACTGTGAAATAAACTACATGTAATTGTAAACTGAAAATTTTTTAATTTACGAAATGCCAAAATTTTTCGTACCTACATCATGGGAGAATCTAGCAGAAGCATTGAACTTCCGTTCAAAAGTATCTTTGGGCGATAACAGTGCTGAGGCAAAGGCAGTCCACACTATATCAAGTACTAGAAAAAAGAAGAAAGTCAAGACACCCAAATTAGACAGGGATAAACCAAAAGATTTGGCTAATCCAAAAGTCAACAAAAGTGAAGTGGAATTTGGAAAAGTCCACAAGGGCCGAATTGACAAAAAAAATTTCGATAAAAATCCACTCTCACATTCTAAGGTCGTAATTGCATCCGGATATCGTGGCCCTCAACCAGTTGATGCGCTATCATCCGCAAAAGTAAATCTTAAGGGAACGAAAAAACGCAGTAAAAGTGCACCAAGCGCAGCATCAACTTCGGAAAAAGTTGTAAAATTGGCTGGGTCGGCTAATACTTCTTTAGAGAAAGATAATTCTGAATTAGTTAGACCAACAAGTTCTCAGGACATTGGATTAAAAGCTTTTGAAAACACTCTAAAGCAACAACTGTTAGGTGGACGCTTTCGTTATATAAACGAACAGTTATATACCATGGATAGTATAGACGCGAATGAATTTTTCAAATCAGATGCTGAAGCCTTTAATGCATACCACGCTGGATATCAGCAGCAGGTTGAAAAATGGCCTATGAATCCACTTGATCGTATAATAAAAATGATAAGACGATTACCAAAATCACTAGAAATTGTAGACTTCGGTTGCGGTGAAGGTCGTCTGGCTACGATGTTGCCCAATAAGGTGTATTCAATGGATTTGGTGAGCACACGCAGCGATATAATAGCATGTGACATGGCTTATACGCCACTCAATGACCAGTCTGTAGATGTAGCCGTTTATTGTCTGTCATTAATGGGAACGAATCTAAAAGATTACTTGTTGGAGGCGAATCGCGTTTTACGTCCTAACGGTTTGGTAATAATTGCGGAGATCCAATCACGATTCGATGATTTGCGGCAATTTATACGCGGACTAGAAGCTTGTGGATTCGAATTACTGAAGAAAGATATTAATGAGCGGTTGTTTTATTTTTTTCAGTTTAAAAAGGTACGAAATGTTGGAAAAGTAATGTTAATACCGCCATTTTCTCTGAAGCCGTGTTTATATCGGAAACGGTGAGATATATCACATTTAAAATAAATAATTTTAATATAATTTAATTTATATGTATTTAAAAAAATTGATTCTTCCCATAGATAATTGAAGCATTATCGTTATGACTATCTACATTTCAGAAAGAATGCTACCAAATTTATACCTAGGTGTGGTAATTATTAAAAATTGAAATGTAAACAAATGATGTAATAGTTTTTGTCGATATTAATGCAATTTCTCAATAAATTATGAGTATTGATTAAGATCCAATTTGGTTTCCTTATTGAGTTACTAAGTCGCCGCAATGGCGCGGTCTTTAGGACACCACAATGTCATTGGCATTCAATATGTAAATTGCCCCGAATAACATGTATTATGAATTATTCCTTTAATAAAGAAAAAAAAACCAAAAAGTTATTTTAATTTTTATTTGCAAAAGTAATATTTTGTCACGTTTTCTTATGTTTAATATATGTAGTTTTTATTAGCATAATTATTTCAGTTAGTTTTCATGCAGCTAGTATATTTTCTTTACTACTGTTCTAGTTACAAGTGGTTGCACATTGTGAAGATTTTTTGTTATAAAATAGAAATGATAAAATTACTGGTGAAATGTAGCCGTTTTATTGTTTTAAAATATTAGTATAAAAAGGATGACCAAAGATTTTTTATTATTATTTTGTTAATACTTAGGAAAGTGTTGACCCGATTCAAGCCATTTTTGATACACAGAATTCTTATTGTGAGTAAAGTATTCTGTCTGAATTACACATATAAAATTATACATATACAATTATCTCACTCATGGACAGATATTTTCGGTCAAAAGTCAACTGTAGATGTTAGGGTCCACATATTCGGTACCTAGGGTCTTGAACATTTTTGGTTTTATTTGGACAATTTTTGGCCATAATGTGGCATACTTTAAGGGAATTATTACTGCAARTTTTTATTCCGTTATATTAATTACAATTTGATTTGTGTACTGGAAAGTGAAAGAAGCAAATGGAATTTATATTGTTTTATATGGGAAGTAGGCATGGTTTTAGTCCGATTTCGCCCATTTTCACAATGTGACATAGGAATGTGAAAAGGATAAGTACTACTAAATTTAGTCAAAATAGGTCGATCGGTTCCCGAGATGTGGGATTTCACCAAAAAGTGGCACGCCCATCGTGCAAGTTTCATATCGGCTCTAATGAAGCACACTCATACCGTTTAGGAGGTAAAACTGTATGTCTCTGGCGTAATTAGTAATTGATTTATTGCACTTTTAATATTTTTGAACGTTATATGGGGTGTGAGCGAGACACTGTCGGTAGAAGTTCTGATAGTATTCGAGCTTAGCTTAGGGATATGCACATTAAACATATTGGAGGGCGCCACGCCCATTTTTACCAAATTTTTATCCCCCAGGTGCCCTTCGCTAGTACTATAACCTGTGCGAAATTACAGTTTGATGCTTAGTTATGGTACTTTATAGTTTTTCGATTAATGGTGATTTGTTGGCGTGGCCCATCTATGAACTCGTATTTTTTTTGTACTAATTAACCTGCATATCATAAAAGCATTATGGCGTTATATAAAAACGTATGTATTTGGTTTTATAAAAACGAAATGTTTGCAACTGAATGTTTACCTTAAGTTTCTGTATGTCAAATGAGAAGATATGCCATTAGTGTACTTCTTGCGATTGTTTGTTTCCACTACATGTCTAGAGTATAATGACAAATACTATATAAATCATGTTTTGATTTATCTGCATTTCTGGTGATTAATGTTATTTATTAAATACTGTATTTTTTAGGAATTCGGGATTTTCATTATTATTATAATCCATTTATAATGTGGTGTCTTCTCAAAGCTTTGTTGGTAAAATGTTAAAAATAACAATGTTGACACATACAAATTTGTATGTATTTTTGGTATTTTTCTTAGCCAGGGCTGCATAACTATTAGGTTTAAAATTGAGGCATAAACAAACAAAAATTATTTATCACTATATTATTTGTAGATCATTGTTCTGAACTGTTTKTTTTTTATTATGTACTGTAGGCATATGATAGTAGTGAAGCGTGACATACACATAATATCCTTTAGGTATTTGTCTGCAGAACTTATACACACACTTTTTGTCTACCTTAATTCTGATTACTACTAATATTTTTTTATAAGGATATTCCATGGTGACATTATAAATAACTCAGCATATTTTTCCTTATCTTCAAAAAGAAGAAAAATTCATCAGAATAGGTAGACAAAAGAATTATGTACACAGATGTAAAGAAATCAATCAGATTTTCGTAAAATTTATTTCACTTATCCTTGCTTACGCTGCTATAGTTAAGTGGAAGTGTACTTTCAAAACCCGTAGAAGTTATGTATAATTTTCCATAATTTCATATCAATTTTGAATACTTTTACCCTTTTATTGATTTTGGAAGTATGTCTTAGATCTATTGGGATACATATATCTACAGTTGTATATAATTTGATATAACAATTTTAATCTACTTTGTAATTATATGCTTAGCAACTACAAATAATTAATAATTTTTATTTATTAATATTTTTATGCTCTAAAAACTGTCTCTTTTATTATGTATCTTTTACATTCTTATTAAATTTATCATTTGTGATTGCATAATAAAACGAGATTTTCGACAAACATTTAGTGAAGTGAATTTAAATATTGCAAACATCTGTATGTATAAATAAATGTTCCTATGATTTCTTTACATTTATTTGCGCTTGAACTTCAGTTTTATATCATAGTTTGGAGTGTGCATATGCCTAGAGTGTCTTTGATGTTTATCTTAGATCTAATTTATATACTAAAAATATTACGGAACTCATACAAGAACTAATAATAATTTCAAATATTGCCATTTGTTTATACCGCTGTTTGTTTTATTTCGTTTTGGAAATTATAAGATACTTTTTCCTTAGTATTTTTAGTTTCAAAATATTTTAATGTTTATTTTATTGTGTTGCTGCTAATAACATTATTTAATTATAGAAAAAATATCACCAATTTTTTTCTTATTACAGTTTTATTTACACGAAAACGTATACATTCCAATATGAGTGTTTATTTGCAGAAGTTTGGACACATACATATTAAAAGTTTTCCAAGAGCATATTGTTTAAACATTATCAATATTCAAAACTTTTAACAAAAATATTAAAATTTTTGTATGCTACGCTATATCTACATATATCTATATGGATTCTCTAAATTTTCCGGCTGTCATGTTCTATTTATTTCCTAATGCTTTTTAAGTACATGTTATACATACATATACATATCTATGTAATTATAAAGAGCATTATAGTAATGTAATTGAATTAACAATAATTATGATATAGGTGTATTATAAGGAGCGAGGGTGTATTTAAACCATCCCCTTTACGTAATACATGAATTATTTTTCTTGACGAATGGAATGTTTYTAAATTAATGCAAACTATTAACTTTCAAGAATATTATCAGCAAACAAATTTAGATTAGTGCGAAACAAAACTATATATGCATAATTTATATTTGAGGCTATATCAAAAATCAGTACAGAAGCCAGACATGTTGCCAGCTTAAGTTTACCACATGCAAATTATTTAATTTTGTAATGCCGCGTTAGGGTGAGCTCATTTGTAAATATGCGTATGTGTGTATGTATGTTTTTTATATGTATATAAATTATGCTACTCAAATTCGATTTAAAGTAGTATTTTTTTCCAACAGTTGATGAAAATTATTTTCACCCGTTATGTAATGTCCAATTATGTGAATACTAGGTGTTTATGTGGCTGCAGTCACTTCCTTTGTTTTCTATTCGCCTCGGTTTCCGATTTACAGAATGTCTTGCAGATTGAAATTGTCGTTGTCAAGTGAGTTAATTAAATCCTGTGTGGAGAAATTGCCACTGTCCACCGGTAGGTTGTCGAGGAACTCGAGACATAAATCATTAGAACTGGCCACCACTGAATTAATTGTTTGATTTATGGCATTGGCAGTATTGGAAGCTGTAGATGTATTGGTGGATTGAGCTGCTGTAGCCGCAGTCATGTTATTTCCTGTGATATTATTATTATTTGACCCAAGGTTGTTTGTTCCCGATCCAAGTGAACCAGTGGTGCTGGCATTGGGGCCTATACTAGGTACTCCTACCGATCCGCTTACCATTCCGCCAGTACTTGCGTTGCTGCTTCCCACATTCTGGCTGATTTGCATCATTTGCGTATGCTGTTGGTGCGCGGTTGCTGTCGATGCGGTTTGTTGAACGAACTGCTGTTGTTGCATTGTTATTTGTTGTTGCGACTGTGACATGTGTAATGATGTCATTTGCATCTGAGTCATTACGTTACCGGGTCCGCCTTGTTGCTGCTGATGATGTTGCTGCAGCATTTGTTGCATCTGTACGCTGCCTGCTCCTCCGCTTCCACCGGTGTTCGCTAACATTTGTTGCTGCTGCTGGACCTGTTGCTGTCGCATCATTTGTTGCTGAATTTGTGATGGCGTCAATTGCATGCCGTGATTTGGAACACCACCACCAGTCATAGGACCAACACCACCAGCACTTGGTAAAAAGCCTCCTGATTGGGAAAGTAGCAAGTAATAAACTACCACTTTAAGATAGAAATGTAATATATATATTTACCGCCGCCAAATGATCCAGCCCCTTGCCGCATTGGGCCGCCAGGTCCTCCACCAAAACTCATCTGTTGTTGCTGCGACATCATCATGTGGCGCCACTCCTGCTGTGAACCCATCGGCATACCATCTGGAGTAACTTGGACATTAGGAGGACGTTGTTGTGTTCCCATGGCACCATTAAATGCTCCCATAGATGAACGTGAGCCAGCAACTGCTGAATGTTGCATGTACATCGCATGCTGCGGGCGCATCATTGGTCCTAAAAAATACGACAATTAAATACTTTTAATCATAATAAATGTATATATTTTTTTCATACCTGAGGGTGGAATAGGTTGTTGCGTCATTCGTCGCATTGCTGCTGCTTGAGCTGAAGCATTGGGAAAGCGTCCGCCACTGCCGCCAACGTTCTGCTGCATCATTTGTGCTTGCATAAGTTGAGCTTGCGAAGCCTTGTATTCGGGCGGTGGTGGTCGCGATCCACCCATGTGCTGTTGTTGTATAGCTTGAACGCGCATCATTTGTTGCTGTTGTAAGAATTTGGCTTGGTTAATATTCATCGGGGGTCCACTATTTGGCGTCGCACCCATCATCATTGCTGCTGCAGCAGCATTTGGTCCATTCTGGGCATTTATATGCGATAAAGAATTGCTAGGCATCATTGCGCCTAACCCGCTACCATTAGTCCCACCCATTTGATGCGTTCCACCAATATTAACATTCCCGCCCATTCCCGAAATGTTATTCATGCCACTGGGTCCAATTGTATCCCCTCCTCCTCCCCCTATCGTCACACTTTGTGGAACTGGTCCACCATGCACATTACCACTCACGCTGCTTGACTGTTGTCCTATTAAATTACCCACACCTCCAGGTACACCATTATTTGTATTGTTATTGTTGTTCGGAACGACAGGTGAGCCAACATTCGTCGATGATACTTGAGCCAAGGCTGCAGATGCAGCTGCAGCAGCTGCTGCTGCCGCTTGTGCTTGAGCCTGCGTTTGACGTTGACGCATATTGGAAGGCATTTGTTGATTCTGCTGTGTCGGTTGTTGTTGGGCATGTTGCTGCTGTTGTTGTTGTGTGAAATTCAGTGACTGGGTTTGCGAAATGGAGAAGCCGTCTGAAGCTCCTGTAAATGATTACAAATTTAAATAGAGAAAATCATATGTAGTTATGGTAGAATACCGTTTCCGTGATTTAGATTTTGATTTTGTTGCTGTTGAGATTGCTGTTGCTGTTGTGAATTTTGAGTATTTTGATGTTGCTGACCATGTGGCTGATGTTGTTGTTGAGCGCTTGACCCATGAGGTTGCTGCTGCTGGTGATTAAAGAATTGTATACCCTGTTGCGCTGCCACTGATACGTTGCTCTTCATGTCYCCACTTAAATGAAGATGCTGACCACTTGATACCTTCAATTAAAGATTGACAAAATATTGTATATACATAGGTACTTTTTTTTTAAATAAGGCGATAAAAAGAAAACTACTACGAATTTTATTTTAATAATATTTTAACAATATGCCGATCTTTTCTTACCGAAAGCAGATACATTCATATAGTATGGGCGTGTTGGTATCATATGATGTACATCCTCTGGTAGGTATGTATATACGATAAGTGGCGACAATTAGTTTTAAGACGTCTACGTTTGATATGAAATCATTTTATATTATGTTATACAGCGAGCTTGATCATTGCTGGGCTTGCCATTTTTGAGCCATGCTTGGGACGACGAATGTTAAACAAATTGGTTTATAAAATTTAAATTTTGATTTAGCCCTATTTTGAATTCCACTTAGCTTATGCTGGATTTCAAAGTGCAATTTCATAACTCAAATATAAAACGAAGTACCACGTCGAAAAAAGTTGCGTGGGAGAAAGTTCATAGCTCTCAATGGCGCGTTCTACACTGTTGGCACTTTCTTCTTCTTCAATGTTTTTAGATTTCTGATTTTAAATCGCACGGCGTGTAAGTAACATAAATTAATCAAACAGAATAAATACTAGATGCTGGGCCACGACCAAATAGTCATATTCTTAAAAGCCGTAACATATGCACAATTTGATTTCTTATATACATATGTACATATGTACCATGAGCCAAAATATTCTTACTTACAGCCTGCTAGAGCAACAGGCAAATAAGAATTAAAAGACCACACAAGTTACTTACAGAATGTTTTTAACACGAGTTCGGATATCGATTATTCAACGAAGTGCGCTCCCTTCGTGGTAAGGTAAAGGCACTCAAAACTCTTACTATTTATATGTATATATGTACTTAGGTATAAGTTAGTTATGTAGGACACAAATTGCGATAACATTTTATATTAATATTGTCAAGCATTAAAACTTCTGACTGGGAAAATAATATCGGCAGTATTGTTAGGGTGGTTACATTACACTTGTTTTCTGAATGCAATCGTTTCTTTAAGAGAGTTATATTTGAAAATAGTGGGCACAAGCGCACTGTGAGAGAATCATATAAAGCACGGCATCAGTAGAGTGTAAAATGTGAGAGTTTTATAAATAAATAATGACTTAATCTCTTCAAATAGTAAGAGTAGCAAAGAATGTACAAATAATTATGGTTTTAACTGTGTTTCCACGCTATGGCGTTTCCGGTCAAACGTAGGCGATTGGGAGGCTAGAGAAATGTTTTTTCGACTTCACAGTGTTATTTTATGTTACAAAAATTTAATATGTCTACACAATAACAACTGATTTATAATAATTTGTTACTGATCAATTTTTATTCGAAACTTTTCTTGAAATTCATTGCACTATTATACTAGTATTAATAGAAAGGGTGCTACTATTATTCTAGGCTTGACTCTAAATGAAATTGTGATATGCCATAATATCTAATTGTATGAAATATGAATGTATGCATATAAAATATCCCGATGAAGATAATATATCGCATATTATTTTCTTTTTAATTTTTTTTTTGGATAACCACCCATTTTCTTGTAAAATAATATTCAAATTTTCTATTTATTGGTCTCACCTTATACAAATGAATAACTAGCACCCTTAAGTCACATACCTGTATCCCATGAGCTCCTCCTTGTTGGGTAATATGCAATTGCTGTGTTTGTTTCATTTGCAGTGTTGTTGTTGTCGACTGCTGCTGTTGTTGCTGTTGATGTAGATTTGGACCACTCTGCGAACTATTAGCATTGCCCGCTCCCGCATTAATGCCACCACCGCTGCCATTTTGATTGTTTGAACCTGACGCCCCACTTACACTAGGACCACCACCCATGCCACCGGCACCATTGTTGACATTTAGTGGCGGGACGCTTTGCGGTCCTCCACGTTGTTGCGTATTGTTCTGGGGATGCTGCGCCGTCATATTAGGTGGACCGCCATTGCCACAACTATTCCCTACGCCGACTCCGCCACTAATACCACCCGATCCTGAAGCACTGCGATTCGGTCCTTGCATAAATGATTGACCGGCAGGGCTCTGATTGCCCGTTGCACCCATTGGGGAATTATATGGCGAGTATTGTTGTTGCTGGGTTTGTGGTTGTCCAGGTTTCGAGAAACTACCAGAGTTGTTATTTGGTCCCATTTTAGGTCCATTCGGGGCATGCGAGTTTTGTGTTGGTTGTGGATGATTTTGTTGTGTGTGGTGTTGTTGTTGCTGCTGTTGGTGCATTTGAGCCTGTTGTTGTAGTCGTTTGAGATCGAAATCATTTTGTGAGGAATAGAAGAGCTCTTGCTTTATATCTAGAAAACTCTGTTGCATGCCAACAAACGGACCCGAACCAGCCATAGATCCATTGCCAGGAACTTTTTGCTGAAATTGAGGCAAATGCTGTTGCTGTTGTGAACCATTGGGCCCCATACCATAATCGCTACCGAAATTGCCATAATCATTATACCGATTATTTGGGCCACCTCCCCCCATTATTTGCCCCTGTTGTGACTGGTGCATTGGCGGCCGTGGGAAACCTCCCATACCGCCCATGGCGTTCTTATGCTGATGTTGCTCTGCCATTTGTTTTAATGTTTGTGCAGCTAACGATGTCATCTGACCGTTATCAGGACCATTTAAAAATTGTCGCATTTTGTTCAACGTTTGGGGATCGGTATGTGGAGGTCCATTCATAGAACCACCCATACCACCACTATTAGCCACGTTAGGCACGTTATTTGCACCCCCTACATTCATACCCCCACCGCCATTTCCAAATGTTGCGTTAAAATCCGCCATCACATTTTCTGATTTCACATTCAGACTATTAATGAGGTCTTGTGCATTTGGTGGCTCCACCTTAATACCATCCTCAGTTTTAATATCTAAAAGTGGCTTCTCATCAAAACTAAATAAATCCGGATTGAAGTCTTGTAGATCATTTATGATATCATCGCCCATAAGATCGGGAAACCCGGGAAAGTTACTATTTGGACCACTCTCTTTTTCTAATCCAGCCAGATCTGAAAAGTCCTGATCGGGCTCACTTTTGCATTCCACTAAATTTGATAGACTACCAAGACCAAGTTTTTGTTGCTTCTGAGTTGTATTTGAATTGTTATGTCCACTCATTAAGTTGTTGATATTAGTACCGGTAGCACTATTACCACCCCCCCCATTAGGTCCTCCGCTGTTTCCAGTGTTTCCACGAGCATTATTCGATATTCCGCCACTTTGCGGATCATTCGGCCCACCAGAATTACCGCCAGGACCAGTAGTCGTTCCACCACAACCACCGCTGCCAGTGCTGCCGCCGTTCCCACCGACGTCCGACTCGCTTTTTACGGAAGTGTTTGTGAGCGCCTTTACTGTGACATTCGTGCTTATCTGCTGCGGTTGTGAGTTAGCCGCTGACGTGGTGAACTCCAATTTTTGCACAATATGCACTGAGAACTTCGTTAGATTTTCAGAACCGTTGTTATTGTTGCAGTTATTATTGTTATTTGGCAGTTTGTGTGGCGGCTCAAATGTTTCAGATCCATTGTCCACGTCGTCCGCTGGCCGTTTTAAGAACTTTTGTTGCTAAAATAATGAGAAAAATCAAAAATTATTCAATAATTTTCACATATTAAACTTGATTATCTATTAATGTATGTATCACAGTTTTAAAACATTTGTATAAAAACTTTGAATTTTAAAATATGTATATATATTCATCTTTCTATATCTATGCAATAAGGTACTAAGTTGGTTTACCCAAATATTCATTAAAATGATTAACTTATTTCCTTCCAAAGCAAGTCGACATAGAAAAGAGAAGCATCGAGGTGTTCCCTTAAGATTTTTCTATGTAACGTCCAATCGGAATTTTATTTGATTCGATTTCTCTCAAAAATTTTAGTTTTTCCATTTCATTAACACAGTTTATTTTTTGAACGCAATTGCTATAAATTACAAACATTTATTTATTCTTTTTTTATTTTACTAACACTAAGCATATTACAAATAATAACACCGAATTTAAACTATTTATATCATTTGCTATATTCTGTATGTATATTAGTTGAGATGTTCATTTAAACCTCCTCGATTGTTAAAGTTGTCGTTTTGCCGCTCAAAGTGCAAACCCTTTACACCCTTTGTCTCTGCTGAGAAGTTAATTTTACGTTTTTATAAGTAAAAACAGACAGCAGTAAATATAAGTAAAAATTAATAAAATTACGAGAAAAACATATTACAATTATTGCGATGAAAATGTAGAGATTTTACTTAAATGAAACTACATTTTTTTGAAGACAACATACACTTGATGCGTTCAAATCGCAAAAAAAATTATTTCTTTTGGTTCTTCACATGAAAGTTGCCTATTTTTAAGTCGAAATATTACATTTATTGTAATGACTCTTCTAGCACTCATTATAGTAGAATTGGTTTATTTGATTAATAAAAGTGGGTGCAGTTCTCTTTGCTCAAGTAAATACAATTATGAAGATTTTCTCGTCGTTATATATGTAGATTACTGCACTACTAGAATTAGCGAATATAAAAATATTGTATGTATCAAAAGATATGTATAATAACGGAATCATTACCCATTACTATGCCCATAAAAAAGCGCTATTCGAACGAATCATCGGGTTTTTCGCGCTAACAAAATTTAGCTTACGCATTAGTAAAGATAACGAGCTAGAGAGAAAACAAAATTCTATCAACTAGTTAGAGAAATATCTTTATATACTCGAATAATTGAATAAGTACCTATTGAATCATGCTGATAAAAATAGATCAATTCTAGAAGGCCAACCCAAAATGACCGTTGTTTTTGTTGTCGGGACCGAAATAATTTGTAAAAAATGTTTTAGGAATACCTATTACCGAATTGAAAGTCCGGAAGTCTATTCAACTATCTGTGCAAGCGATATATGGGTAAAAATTAAAATATCTTGATAAAATACTCCTTGATAACATGAGAAGGTTGAAAATGCAGATCGACGTAATAAAACCATAATATGTTTCCCTYACCACATAAACTATATCTAATTATAAGTTTCATCTGATTTTTCACTTTATATCGGTGTAAAACTTAATTTAAATAGAGCCTCCGAGGTTGCCTTCTGTCATCTCTGTCGAAATCGGGGTAAAAATTTTCAAGACCCCAGATTCTGAACATGAGATCCCTATTTTTTGGCTGATTTTATTCCAAAAATATCAAAGTGGGGCTTCACTAATATAAGCCTGAATTCCTTTTTTTACAAAGAGAAAATAATTAACAAATATATGGATTAATTTTTGTGATTACAATGGCTTCCGTTTCCTGGCATTGGACTTATTTACATAGGTACATGTGTTTATGCACTCACTGAATCATATTTTAGTTTAAAAATGTAAACATTTTAATTGTAAATCTAGTGTCATAGGTATGTTATGTGTTTCTTTATTAAAGGTTGTTGCACTATTGTTTTTCTCTACTGTTTCCGATGTCACTTTGACCACCTCCACACTTTGCGTATTACTATCTATTTGCATTCGATGCGATGTCTCGCCGCTGCTGCAATTGTAACCATCATTAGCATCAGCTACGTTAATAYCTCATAACTTTAATATTGCTTGCTTGAAACTGTGCCTACGTACATTTATTTATAAACTGTTTTTATTATTTAGATTTATTTCAATTAAAAATTTTAAACTTGCTATTGTGTTATTTGGCAAGTGTTATCGTTTTCGCCGTAGATGTCGCCCTAATCGTGTATGAATTTAGGTTTCTCGTTATCCCAAAAGCCAATTATCTGAAATTTTCCGTGTTTTAGTCGTGTGGCGTTTGGCTGACAATTGAGTACTGACACGAGCCGGCTGTGGCGGAGTTCCCGATATATGACAACAGCAGCTACATACATATATCTCGAACTACCAAGCCAACGAGGCAGTCACCTAATCAAACATTTCGTCAGCCAGCAGTAGAGTCACAACCGCCGTCACAGGAGAATCAAAAAATAAACGCATTGTGAGAAAGTTGGAAAAGCACTGCAACACTTAAAGAGACAGCAACAGAGACGCAAAGCATAACAACGCACCAATGAACTCGAAATGCGAAAATAAAAATTCACATGCAATACATACATTTGCCCAACGCAACATGAAACCACGGTGACATCCCAATGAGAGTTAAATAAGAGGCATAGACATTGCGAATGGGAGAAATGGAAAATCTCAAAAATTTAAAAAACGATGTTTTCTTTATGCACCAGCAGTAATCAAGGTAGAGACTGAAATGTAGTGAAACTATATCAAACCAGTGATACCCATCAAAGACCAGAATACAAATGCTAACATGGTCAATAGCAGTTAAAAGCGCAAACGCTGAAAAGCTAGAGCAATATAGAGACATCATCCATGAAGGGATGTTCTTATGGGAAACCAAAATACAATAGACAATATACATACATACATATGTACATCCATATTTGCAAGTGAAAACAACCCTCATAAAAACTTCATGCGGAAGCTATAGAAACTATAAGTCTAACCATAATATCTGTCAAAATCAAAATAAAAATGGATTGTCAAACTATTTTATAACTTCTGAGTGAAAAGAGTTTACCAACATTAATATAACTTTATCAATATTCGAAATCGTAGAATCAAAAAGAAAAGAAATAATATAACGTATTCTTAAATTGAGCGTTTATTGATTTTTCTTATATATTTCAACTTCCTTTGAATCAATATTTATTTAATATAAATAACTTTGAAACATCTTTTAAATATCACACTTAAAAAGGATTGAATTTTCACCGAGAATAGGACAAAAAAATTTTTGTACTCGCATTTTATCATGATCGAGARTTGTGTTGATAAAAACCTATAGCAATATACTGACGTTTTGGTTGATGACTCTGTTATTAAAGCAGTTAAACTCTTACCACTATACTAGCAATGGTTGCATGGTGAGATAAAACTTTYGAATATTTAAATATACATATGTATATAGGGACTTTACAAGCATTGGTAAAACATTCACCACGCGATATCTTGTGTGCATAAATTGCATTGTTAAATAAAAACAAAGCATTCGTTGTGCATTGTTTTGATATGCTTATTATCTTACAATTAATAAGATTTCAGCTTGTCGTTTTCTTGTCCATAACATCTCTTATTCGTAGACTGCCCGATGGTTCACATCGACTAAGATATCAATGTTAATAAAAGAGAATATAAATATTTGGACCAGCAATTCACCACTACTATCATTATAATCAATGGCATAGTGTGCTCTCTGGTATTAAAGAATATACATATGTATGTAAGTWTCTGAGTATATCTCACGGAAAAAACTTTTAGGTCAAGCCTTTCAATCCATATATTCATGTATACATTACAAAAAATATACACAGTTATAAGCGGGGTTGCGAATTTTTTTATTTCAAAATTATACCTACTTTAAACATTAAATTTTTTTTTAATCCCGATGTTCTATTATGATTATGTTAATTCTAAAACAACTTTTTTTTAATTCTTGACTATACGCTTGTGATATTATACAGATTTTTCCTTTTTATTTTAGTTGGGATTTTATTTAAAAAAAATTTTAATACAAATCCTATTTCATTTTTTTAATGCATTACTGCTTATAAGTATATGAACCTAAGCATATTTACATAGTTATATAATATAAAAATATACATATCCATAAACCGTATCATATAATTTGATGAATTTATCTTTTCAACGGATTGGGTACTCGCTGAACTTTTTTTACGCAAACATATGTATGTACATACATTTATGTAAGTATACATAAGTACATCTGTAAGTACGTATGTATATATGAGTGAAATATGTATTTGTTTTCCAACAAATGCCTTGTCAAAAATTCAATATCTGAGATAAGGTCAATATTATTATATTCCTAACGTTTGGATAAATAATTGTATGTTTTTTGTGTTCAAAAGTCTAATAATGATGAAGTTATTCAATAGATTTGAATGAATGAAACATTCTTAGTAAACAATTTAAAAGTGTATAAAATGTTTGATGAAAGTGGTGAATTTTTTCAGAGTAAGAAAATAATGACAATGTCAATCTCTTTTGATCTTCTATTTACCAGTTTTCAGTTGTCCAGCTTGAAAAACTTTGTTAATATTCGTTGGCTGAACAGTCACGTACATATGTACATACATATGCATGCACATGCAATTCGTCTTGCGATACACCATATACATACATACATACATATACAATAAAAATATATTTATATATTATTTCTATGTTTACATGTACATACATACTATATTATATCCCATTCTTTCATTGGTCTTACAATATTAAACATACATTTTAGTTGCAAACTMAAAAAATTTAATATAGACGTAATCGACATTCGATATATGTATGTACATACATATGGATATACAATTTAGGAAATGCGCCGGAAACATGAAATACATTCTATAAATTCTACTACGAATTTGCAATAAAAATTAATATATTTACATAGTAGATAATATACAGCGATCAAGCTACACTTGGAGAATATGAAATGAAAGCACATAGAGGTAAATATATACTATGTACATACATACATA